TATATTTTGAAATCTAAGTGCCCAAAGCAACACATCTCAAGACTGCTAGTTACTGGGTATAGTATGAGCAATACTACAGACAGGTATATAACCAAAGGGCAGGGCACTAAGGGGAATAGCTTTAACTTTATAAAAGAACAAAAAAGAAACAGAAAACAAACTGAAAAAATCAAGCAAAAAAAGATAACCCTTGATAGAAGTGGTTCCAGAGTTATGTTTCATTTTTTATCTTCTTGTCATAAGGGAAAAAGGAGGAGCACTGAATACTTACCCTGAACAATCATTCTCTATTGATGTTCTGCATTAATACTCACAACACCTCACAGCTGAAAAAAAAGAACACTCTCCTAGAAAGTACAAACCACCTTCCTAACTCTAAAAGCTGCTACAACTTCCATATCATAAGACACACAGCATACAGATATTAAATAATAAATTTCAATCATTTAGTCAAAGAAGGCAGCCGTTAGCAACAAGAATTTTAAGTTAGGCTTGCAGCTGGCTGGAAAAAGTGTATGAGGGAAGCCAGGGCTTAGGTTACGTGATGCACAAGAAGTGGTTGAAGCAGGTGGGTTTATCCCATCCGCAGAACAGAAGGCTAAAGATAGAGAGGAGGAATATAAACTCTACCTTCACAGTTAGATGTTTCTTGGAGGTTCACAACAAAAGGATGAGAGGCAGCAGTCATGATGCAACAAGGGAAATTCCTATCAGATGATGAAATCTACAGTCTTCATAGTTAAAGCGGTCAGGCACTGGAGCCCATAAGCAACCAGATCTTTTAAAGTTTGACACGGTTTAAGCAGGGGGGGGTTGAGTAGAGAAGCTTGTGAAGTCCCTTCCAGCCTATCGTAATCTACAATTTTATGTACTGTCTATGGAAAGAGAATGAGAAAATGGTGATGGACAAAGATAGAGAAATTACTTGCCAAGTAAGGTAAAGTCCAAAAGTAGTCCAACAGGAGCATATTTCTAAAGATTTCAAAACCCTAAACTTATTTAAGTGATTGGTAGGACTTAAAATTTTGAAGAGCTTTATTTATGTACCTACACAAAGTCATACACCAAATTTCAGAGATGTCAAAACTAGATCTTCCTGGAAAACAGTTCTAATTTGTTTTTATATAGAATAAACTAAACCATGTTTTCATTTTTTATCAGTTAAAATTTTTACTGCTAAATGACTCACAATTCAGTTCTGTTAGGTTCCATGGCTCTTTCCAACCAAGTCAAGATTGTGCAAGGAATCGTAACAAAGGTCTGGTCTATAAACATTTCAGTAATGTTGAAGATTTGCAGTTATACCAACTAAAGGAATTGTATTTCCTAACCCTGTTGAAGTTAACTAGTACAAAACAGAAAAATACTGTAAAGTAGTCTGGGTAATAGAAATTATATATTGGAAATCCCAACCAAGATATCTACAGTCTTTACAACTGTTCAGCCTTTACTACAGGAAAGAACAGAGTAATTCATTGCTTTATACAACTGATAGTTATTGAGAGAGGATAAAGATGAAGAGTACAGTAAAAATACAGAAAGACTGAAGATTCATACCAAAGAAACAGGCACACCTACACAAAGCAGCTACTACAAGGCTATGCTGTTGATTTGAAGTACAGCATCTACTGCACACTAGGCATGCAGATGTGGATAAGCCAAGCCATGCTATGTGACTATATGAGTCTTGATCCACACACAAGGCAGTCAGGCTGGACAGCAACACATCAGAGGTCTCTGCCAGAAACCAACCCAGAGAACGCACATGCTTCCAACAGGTGCCTGTGACCTCATTCCTTGTGCAGACTCCTTCTGCACTAAGCAGCCTCCTAAGACAAAGCTATGAAAAACTGGCTTACTTTCCCAGAAAACGAACCATCAAGTAAGCTTGAATATGTTTTTAGGAATTTCTTCGCAGCTTCATTCCCGTATTAATTCACCGTAAGTTTATAAAAATTTGGCTTGTAAACAGATATAGCTAACACAGACTTATCATTTGCAGTAACTTGAACAGTAAGATGAACATAAGTCACAATTATGTACTTCATGTATGTACAGTATGATTCTTTTCAGTGGGTGAGCTATAAGCTCTCATTTTTAACATCTCTGTTCATAAGTATCAACCTGAAGATACTTATAAGAATCC